CACACACACACACACACACACACACACACACACACACACACACACACGCACACACACACACACACACACACACCTGAGTCCCTCAGACAGATTACAGAGCAGGATTTCTGACAAAGGGCAGCCCTGCTGTTTTTCTTTGTTTCTCCGGAGAAGGGGCAGATGTCACTTAGCTTCCCTCCAAGAAGCTCGCTAGAAGGGAGCTGGCAAAGAAAAGTGGGAGGAGGGCTGGGTTTGGAGTCCTGGGGCCTTGCTTTCAAGCCTGCCCCTGTCCCTGGCCTTTACTAGCTGTGAGACCTGTCGTGGGAGCTGGAAGGGGCCTCAGTGACTGGAGTCTAGTCCAGGGTGCGGAACCTTCGGCTTTGAGGCCCCACGTGGCAGCCTTCTAGGTCAAGTGAGGAGGGCTGCACTTGAGGACCTGGAGGGCGGCACGAGGCCTTGAGGCTGAAGGTTCCCCACCCTGGACTAGTCCAACTTATCATTTTCTCATCTCTTCCAGGAAGCCTTCCCCAACCCCTCTTAATTCGAGTGTTTTCCCTCTGTTAATTACTTAACATTAAAGCCATATTTGGGTTGCTCTGTATATATTTGTTTGCATGTTGTCTCTCTCATTAGATTGTAAGCTCCTTGAGGGCAGGGACTCTTTTTACTCTCTTTGTATTCCCAGTGCTTAGCACAACGCCTGGCACTTAGTAGGTGCTTAATAAATACTAATAGATTAATTGATTTTTCAGGTGAAAAAGCTGTGTTCCCGAGAGTAGCATTGCCTAGCCTAGGCCACGCAGGGGGGCATAGACAGGTCACTCAGGAAGGAAACTGCTTCGTAAGCTGTACCCTGCTAGCTAGAGAACTCTCCTCTTCACGGTCACCTGCATTTTTATCATTCCTACCTTAACTGGCAGATGGGGGATGTGAGGCCAGAGGCTCCCACCCTCTTGCCAGGGTCCCTTCCCCTCCACCACCGTGCCTCTAAGAGGTGCTTCAAAGCAAACATTTAGCACTTAATAAGTGCATACAAGGAACGGTGCCCAACGGTCAGTATCAGGCCCTCAAGAGCTTTACAATCTCAATAGGACATGAACACAAATCAATTGGTTAGTATTAGCACCAGGGTTTGAACACAGATCTTCTGAGACAGTGCCCTTTCCATGATACGATTGAGATAGGAACCTCTCTAAGCAATGGAAGGGGACATAGAGTAACTTGGAAGACCCCTGGATCTGAAATCAGAAGCCCGGTCTTTGAATCCCAGCCTGGGGCCCAAGACAAACCACTGGCCCTCTCTGATCTCTGTTTGCCTAGCTACAAAATAGGGATTATGAGCACTGTATAACCCATTTCACAGATTTGTTGGAAGCAAAGGGGTCAGTAAATCTTTTTTTTTTTTTGGTCAGTAAATCTTAAGATGCTAGAAGGAGACAAGCTACTATTATTTCCATTAGGAATTATGAATGATGCAGGAACGTTGGAAGAGATTCTGAAAATATTCGGTATGAATTCTGGAATGCTATCATTTGACATTCTAGACAAGAGGTGTTAAACATACCCACCTTCCTGAGTGTGGCCCCAACCAGATTAAAATATGATTGGGAAATATTAACAAAATAAATAAAAACACAATAAAAGATAGATAACATTACATTTTAAAACTGGCAATATGTGGCCTGCAGGAATCCTTATTTACGGAAGAGTGTTTCTGATTCTATTTATTCTAGATTGTCCAAAGTGGGAAGGGCCTTAGAACATGGAATATTAGATCTGAGAGGAGCCTTAGAACAGGAAATGTCAGAACTGGGAGGGAACCTTAGAACATGGAATGGCAGGGCTGGGAAGGGCCTTAGAAGGAGACATTTAGACGGTCCACCTATTTAAAGGACAGTTTGGGTGAATGTACCCAAGACCGCTAAAGGCAAATGACCTCAAGAAAGAAGTCATTGTGGACGAAATTTCTATCACCAGCTTGTGGAGGCAGTGAGAAGCAGTGGGCAAATCACTGGGCCTGAAATCAGGAGATCAGGCTGTGAGCCCCAGGTCTGGGATGGCTCTCTGGGAGACCTTGGCCATGTGTTTTCTACGGTGTTGCCATCTCTAAAGTGAGAACAATCATCTCTTCGCTACATCCCTCATACAGTGGCCAGGAAATGCCAGAAAAAAATGGCAGCTGGGAGCATTATCCTCATTATTAATTATGATTATTGGGAGATATAGACCAGGTCTTCCTCTGAGAGGTAGCATCATGTGTGGTGTCTACCTTCAGGGTGGCATAGCAAACGTATTATTGCCCTCAGAGTCTGGAAGACCCAGGTTCAAATCCTGCCATTGAATTTTACTAGCTATGTGAACCCGGGCAAATCACTTAATTTTTTGTGTGTCTCAGTTTTCTCATCGGTAAAATGGGGATAACAGCTGTCACACCTACCTCAAATGCCAGTGTTAAATGAGATCATAAGTGAAGTGTTTTGAAGACATTAAAACCCTATATTAATGTCAGTTATTATTATTATTATTATTACCTCTCCCATGAAATCGCTCTATAAAATTCAAGATATGCTAGAAATGAAAGAGGGCCGGATTTGGCGTCAAAGGACTCAGTATCAAATTCTTCTCTTAGTTACTGTGTGACCTTGGGTAAGTGACTTCTGTCTGTGCCTCAGTTCCCCCCTCTGCAAAATGAGGGGGTTGGCCTCCATAACCTCGAAGGTCGCTTTGTCCTATAACTCTATGATCCTAAATGCGGGTCTTTCTGACTGGAGGATACAGGCATACGTCCCTGTCCTGACCAAGGTGGAGAGCGATCCGGGGCCAGCCCCCAGGACGGACCTCCCTCCCGGACCGCAGCAGCCTGTGAAAGGGAGCCCAGCCCCCACTGGGCTTCACCCGTCTCCAGCGTCTTCGGCGCACTTACCAGGCAGAGGAGCTCGGAAAGGACATGAGCGGCGGTGGGCTTAGCATGTCTCCTCTGACGGCGTGTGTTGCCTGGGAGGGGGGCGCCGCAGAGGCAGAGGCAGCAGGGGCTGGGGGCGCCGCTCCCGGGGAGGGAGGCTGAGCGGGGCTCGGACCCTGCGCCGGCTTACTCCAGCGGCCGGGGCCCTGCTTCATCCACGCCCCCTGGATCCCCCATCGCGCCAGGTAAACTCGACAGATATTGTAGTTCATGGCCGAGTAATACAAAAGGTCCAACACCAGCAAGATGACCACGAAGAAGCCGTAGATCCAGACGCCCAGCAAGGCTGTGTAGTTGCTGCCGAGAGAAAGAGAAAAATGGGCATTACCCCAGAAGATACTGGAGTGAGAAGGGACACTGCCCTCTGCCTTCACTCATTAGCCAGTCTGACTGAGCTCTTTCATATTTACAGAAGGGGAAACTGAGGCTCAAGGAAGGGGGGGGCGGCGAATTCAATGAGATCAAGTATGTAAAGTACTTTGTAAACCATCAATTGCTGTATCAGGGCCAGAGAAGGAGCCGATGGTGGGGGTAATGGCGGAGACAACGTCCATGAGGACCTGTGTGGTGAAGTGAGTAAAAAGTTGGCCTGGGAGTCAACGCCTGGGCTCAAGGCCTGCCTCTGATACATCTTGGCTGTGTGACCCATGGCAAGTCGCTTTGCTGCCATCACACAATGCCCTCTTAATGTGCCATGCTCAGCTATGTCTGCCCCTTTGCTGATGCTGAGCCTTACATAGAACGACCTCTCCCTTGCTGTCCTTCAAGATCTCTCTCAAGAAGTGACCATTAGCGCAGTGGATAGAGCATCGGCCCTAGGGTCAGGAGGACCTGAGTTCAAATCCAGTCTCAGACACATAACACTCACTAGCTGTGTGACTAGCTGCAAGACACTTAACCCCAATTGCCTCACCAAAAAAGGTGACCATTAGAGCTGTCCAAAAATGTACTAAATAGCTTTTGAGCTAGTGAGCTCCCTGTTACTGGAGGTCTTCAAGTAGCAGATGATGTAGTAAGAGAGTAAGGTCAGCAGTCAGGAGACCCGGGGTCAAGTGTGACCTCTCTACCTCTGTGCATGTTGGCAGGTCACGTCCCCCTCTCTAAGCCTCGCCCAGTCTCCCCATCTGTAAAATAAAGGGGTTGGACTCTGATTTCTAAGGTGCATCTCCTTTACCGGGATCTGTGACCTCCATTGAAGAGGGTACTCCTGGTACATGAAAGGGCTGGACGAGATGCCCTCTGACATCGCTTCTGGCCCCTGCCTTCATGAAGTCTCCCTTGTTAGCTGAGCCCAGTGGACAGAGAGCTCGAGCAGGGGGTTAACTGAATGGATGGAAATCACGGTGCCAACAGCGAAGGGTGGGCTCCTTTCAGCATCGCTCAGACTGAACCAGGGTTATTTTAGAATGTGGCGACTTTCAGGCATGGATTTATTAACCGCTCTGAATGTGGGCTTCCCATCTGCTCCTTGTAAATAGCATCTGTTTCTGACACACAGAGAAATGAGGCACCTCTTTGTGTTAATTAAGAAAGAGTTGGGGAGCTGAGTCAGCAAGAAGGCATGTTGGCCTATGTGGTGGAATCCACCAAGGGCCTGGAGCTTGGTCCAAAGATGTCAATGTGGAGGGAGGTCTCCAGAGAAGTGCCTCAGGGATCTGTCCCTGTTCCTGTGATGGGCATAGTCTTTGTCAAAGACTCCGATGAAGGCATGCTTGGTGACATCATTGCATCTATGCACCTGGAAAGCTGGGAGGGAGGGCTATCACTTGGGATGACAGAGTCCAGATCCAAAAGGAAATTTCAATATGCTAGAATGTTGGACTAAATCAAATAAAATGGAATTTAAAAGGAATAAATGTAAAGTTTACACCTGGGGTCAAAAAATTGATTCCCTGCGTATACATTAATAGAAGCATGGCTCAATAATAAGTCAAGTGAGATGAGGTAAACAAAGGGCTTATTAATCCCCGACATGCAGATAAATGCCAGTTATTATTTATAATGTTTCTATTAATATTTTTTTTGATGGAGTTTGGATAATTATAGTCCCTGACCAAGTTGCTGTGATTCATTTATATTTAATGTTCTGTGGATTATTTTGCAGGTGGAGAAAATGGCTCTTTTTCCATAACTGAAAATAGATGCATTAGGATTTAAGGCTTAGTTGGCTCACGGAAAGCATCCTTGTGAGACAACTCAATTGAAGAGGTAATGGGGACGATATTGCTTATCTGTCTGGTTTCAACCCCAGGGAATAAGATGCCCCCTCCCAGGTTAAATTCATCACCTCCGACTGAATGCAAGCCTTGATTGACACTACCTCTCTCAGTTTCTTCTCCCCTCTGATTGGTGGGCAGGAGTTATACCTAACTCCTCCCAACGCCTTCCTTTATAGAGGGCAGAAACTAGTCATTTGGCTCACTCCACTCTGTATCTGCTGCTCTTCCTGGTTTCAACTGGAAAGAACAAGTTGCCAGAGGGAATGGGTACCCTCTGTCTTCCCCCTTTCCTGCCTCCTTTTGTGTGTTGGCTTCCCCCTCCCCCATTAGGTTATAAGTTCTTTGAGGGGTAGGGACTGTCTTTTTATTAATTGTATCCTCAGTGCTTAGCACAGTGCCCGGCACATAGTAGGTGCTTAATAAATGTTTATTGGATTAGATTGGACCTCATCCTATTCCCCTGTGGTTTGGATTCTTCCCTATATTTTGACTGCTATTCCTACTCTCCCCACCACACCCCACTAAGTATCATGGACATTAGGAGTCTGCTACAGTGAACGCCGTTAAAATGTCGTCAGGTTTTTTGGGGTTATGCTACACTCAAGTAATGGTGGGCCACAGTTTAACCTGGGATGGTGGCCTGGTCCCAGGAAAGCTCATTTGTCCCATCCTCAAGGAGATTTCAGGTCTGTTTCTACAGATATTTGTCATTTGTGGTTGGCACCTTTTTATTCTTCTTGTCTTTATGCTCAACAAGGCTTAGATAGAAATGGTTCTAGGTTACATTGTTATCCTGCCCTATTTCTTTTCAGTTTAGTGTCAGATAACTATCCTACAGGTAGATAAAGGGACTTCTAAAGAAGGGGATTCCCAGCACTCCTCAGTTGCCATAGTCACAGGAAGCAAAGACTAGATAACTGGGTGGTCCCAAGGTGACCCCTTGGGCTGATCTGATTTATGATGTGGGAACCCCTTTCTACAGTGGAATTCAAGGAAGCAAATTAGTCATGCCCTTTGAGGGCTTTAAACAGTCTAAGAGAGAGGTAAGTAGTCAAGGATTGGAGCAGAGGCTTCTGTCTTCACTTTGCCCCCCATTCGGGTCTGGCAGCCATTTGGCCCGGAGCCACCTTCCCCAGCAGTTTGAAGAGTCCAAGGCCCAAACTGAGGGACCCTCGGAGACTCCCTCATCATCTTTGAAGCAGATATGGCCACAGAAATGTCGATCAAGGCAGACAACAGCTTCAAGAGACAGCCCACCTGTCAGCAGAGGCTGGCTGTAAAGAGCAGACCCTGGGAACCCAAAGAAGCAAGCCACCCTGCAGGGCTGCTGCACCTGGGGGAGGACCAGGAGGACTCCCGGGAAGGAAAAAGGACTTCTCGTCCCTGTAGTAAAAGGATTTGTAATTTGCCACAACCAGACGTGTTCCCTGCACCTGTGTCTCACTACAATCATATTTAAGCTTTTGCTCACTCTCCCTGTATATCTTAGTGGGAGAATCTGCCTCAGGTTTATGGTGGAGGTGGTAGGGGGAGGTTACTCACAAACACCTGTTCTTATTATACAATCTTAGTAAATGTTTTTTCAAAGTGCTAATTGTTTCTACTTGGCTGAATGTAAATGGCAAGGCTACTCCTGGTGGGGGCTCATGAGCTATGGTGTTCTGAAAGCAGGCTTAGAGGATTATCCCAGAACCTATGGCAGCGGTCACTCTAGGCTGTTCCAAGGCAAAGGAGAGTGCCAGGCTGGGGGAGAAGCCTTCAAGGGGGCATACAGACTTTTGTGTTATGTTGGATGAAAGTATTGGAATTGGGGCTCATCTATAGGGAAAATGAACACATCTTTGGGACAACCACAGTGGCAGACAGGATGACAGGCGGGCCATCTACTTCATCTCATTCCCATAGGGTTCTGATTTCCTCCACAGTTACAAGGAACCAGAAGGTGAGAGAAAGATACATGGTGGTTGGAGTTAGTGTTCAACAAGAAACGTTTGGTCTCAGGAGGGAGAGAGTGAGACCGGCAGATGTGTGACTTCTTAGCCGAGGCCTGATTGGGAAGCAAAGCAGGATGGGTCTGAGCCACCTCTGGCCAACCCTCTGGTGACTGTTCTGGGATGTTGTACATCTCCCAGGGGAGAAGGTGGCAACTCTTCCAGTGTGGTTGTGCATCTATGTGTGTGTATTTGTGTGTGTTTTCATGTATACGTGAGTGTGTAGGTATGTGTATTGGCGTGCATGTGTATGTGTGTGTGTGTGTGTATTTGTGTTTATGTATTGTGTGTGTGTGTGTGTGTGTGTGTGTGTGTGTGTCTTAGAGAAGGGAGAGTGTTTGAAGGGCCACGATGCACTTGAGGGATGGGTGGGAAGGTCATAGGTGCCCCATGTATGGACACCAGATCCCCTTACACTGTCTGCCTCTTTCATGTAGCGATGCCCAAGCGCTGCATGTGGGGAGGAGGGAGAAAGTCCAGACAAGGCCCAGGCCCTGCTGCCCTCTCGGCCTCATCGCGTCGTCATCCTTCTGGTTCAAGAGTGTCAGTGGCTTCCCCTGCTCATTTGAAGCTCTTCCAGTCTGGCCTCGCTATGTCTTTCTGAAACGATTCCATGTTTTCTCCCCTCAACAAATTCTCTATGTTCTGGCCAAATAGCTCTGTTCCTTGTGCTCTATAGTCTATCTCCAGCCTCCACACTTTTGCATAGGTGTCCCCCTGGGCTGTCTCCTCATCCCTTTCCTTCTACCTCTCAGGGGAGAGACTGAAAAAAGAGAACAGAGAATAGAGGAGAGGAGAGGAGGACCCGGGGACAAATCCTTAGGGAGTGCCTCCATTGGGTGGGAAGACAGGAGGGCTGCTTGGGCAGTCAGGGGGAGAACCCAGAAACTGTGGTGTTTCTAAAACAGAAGGAGAAAACAGTATGGAGGTGGGGTGCCAGCAGCATAGCAGAAGATAAAGAGGACAAGGATCCTTGAAAGGCTGCTAGGGCTGGTGATTAGGAGGTGGCTGGTGACCTTTGAGAGAGCAGTTTCTATGGAGTGGGGCTGGGGCTGGGGGTGGGAGCCAGATGGCTGAGGATGGAGGG